CTTACTGAGGGTCCAGGTTTGATTCTTATCACCTAGATAGGAGCTCACAACCACTTGTAACTCTAGTCCCAGGGCATCCGAAATTTTCTCTAGCTTCTGTGAGGGCACGAGGCACAAATCTGGTGCACAGATACAACATGCAGACAAAATACCCAGGCATATAAAATAAGAATAAAGGGAATACTCGGGAGACAGAGGTAGGTGGATCTCTATGAGTTTGAGGCCAACCTAGTCTACATAGTGAGTTCCAGGACAGCAGAACTACATAGTGAGACTCTGTCTCAAACAACAACTAAAGAAAAAAGGAAAATGTCTTAGATTGGATCCTCCTTGAATAGCCTGATTCTTTCATTTAAACCAATTCTGACTTTGTCTACTTGGATTCTCATTGGCTGTGTGCCTATTCCCAAGTCATTTAACTATTCTGTATGTCAGTGGCTTCCCCTGTAACAGAGTATCTCGTATCATTTATCACTTCCTAGGCAAGCTGTGGTATAATAATATGCTTTTAAAATTACATTTATGAGCTGGGCAGTGGTGGGGCTCCAAACATCCCAGTGGTGGTAGCACACACCTTTAATCCCAGCACTCAGGAGGCAGAGGCAGATGGATCTCTGAGTTTGAGGCCAGCCTGGTCTACAGAGTGAGTTCCAGGACAGCCACAGATACACAGAGAAGCCCTGTCTCAAACAAATAGACAGCAATATCAATAACAACAACAAAAACAAAACAAAAATAACGAAACCAACCAGCCAAACAAAAAAGCTCTAAGATAAAGAGTAACAGAGGAAGACATCAGAATCAGAAGTACCCTCTGCCTTCCACAATCATGCACAAGGGTACATACAGCACACATACACAAATGTGTATGCAACACGCGCACGCGCACACACACACACACACACGTGCGCACACGCGCGCCAGCACACATACTCACAAAGACGTGACTCCTATCAGAGCAGAGTCCTGTTTCCATGATTTCATTCAACCTTATAGTCATGCACAGATAAAATGGCATTTCTATCAATGACTGGCCATTAGGGATGGAAGTCCCCTAAGATTTTATCACCTAGTGCCACCATAATTGTCAAGGAAACTTTATAAAATAAAATTGCCTAATGACACATCTCTAAGAACGTATCTTTATCATTTAGCAGTACATGAAGGGGCTGGGGGAGTAGCTCATTGGATAGAGTGATTTCCTGGTATGCATGAAGCCCTGGGTGTAAACACCAGCCCTGCATGGAAACCAGATGTGGTGGCTCAATCTCTCCTCTCACTTTTTGTTTTTTGACAGGTTCTCTGGCTGTCCTGGATCTCACTGGTCTGGTCTTGAACTTACAAAGAACCACTTGCGTCTCTCCCCCTTGAACTTTGACCAAAGGGGTTCACCACCATGCTGGACCAATGCTCTTAATCATTGTGGTTGCTTACATGACATATCCTCTCTTCCCAGACCTCCTCATGCCTCTGCCCACATGTCACTTTCAGCTCATGATATCATTTTCTTCCCACTTAGAATAAAAAGAAAAATCAGAAAATAGTCCTTATCCAACACCAAAAATACCTACTTCCCTTGGGCAGACACACACATCATCTTCCCTCCATGTGCTGCGAATGGACCGTCTACATGTCTGTCTGTGGCCAGCCCCTCCTCTTGTACAGGATTCTCTTCCCCTCTTGCTTATTAAAGGCATCACTTCGGCAATTATCCTCTCATCTGCATCATCAAATGTTCTCTCTCAAGGGGATTGTTCTCATCAGCACACTAATGGGATATAAAAACTCATCTTCAAAAAAAAAAACCTTCCATTCCCCCTCATTCACGTCACCACTTGTCTGCTAACCACGCTTAACCAGTTTAAAAATATCTATATTGAGCACGGCGAAGCGCATCTTTAATCCCCTCTTGGGAGACAGAGGCAGGTGGATCTCTGTGAGTTCCAGGCCAATCGGGACTACACATAGAGACACTTTTTCAAACATCATCAAATTTATACTGGGGAAGGTGGTGCTGGAGAGATGGCTCAGAACATAGCGCTTACAGAGTACCTGGGTTCGATTGTCAGCACCCATGCCCAGTGGCTCCCAACTCCAACTCCAGGAAGATGTCCCCGTGATCCATGAGCAACTGCACAATGGCGCGTGTGCGTGCACGCACACACACACACACACATACACACCTGCAAAATTTTAAATGATAACAATAGTAGCTGGGGAGATGGCTCAAACGTTAAGATCATTGGCTGTCTTTCCAGAGGATCCAGGTTCGATTCCCAGCACCCAAATGGCTGATCATACTCTTCTATAACTCCACTCCAAAAGGAGCTGATGCCCTCTTCTAGTTTCTGTGGACCCCAGGCATGCTTCTGGTATACAGACATACACACAGGCAAAGCACTCATATACATAAATAATAATATTTTGAAATGATGATAACCCTCTAAAAAGGGAAAAGGCATCTATACTGTTTCTACTTCCTCACTTCCTATTCTCTCTACACTCCAAGCAGGCTTCTGCCCCAACTGTGGCATCATAACCACATTTTCCAAGATCACCAGTGACTTCCATGTTGACAGATTTGATGGTTAATTCTCCATTCTTGCTTAACCCATCAGTAGCACTTTGTCCTTGATTATTCTATGCCTTTCTTTTTGTCTTCTCCACTTTCCTCAGTTGCTCCCAGGACTTGGAGTCATCCCCCTGCCTCACTAGCTGCTCCTTCTCTACCTACTACTTTTTCCCTTTTCTTTTTTTTTTTTTTCTTCTTTTGTTTTTCAAAGCAAGATTTCTCTGTGTAGCCCTGGCTGTCCTGGAACTTAACTTTGTCAGTCAGGTTGGCCTTGAACTTAGAGATGTGTCTGTTTCTACCTCTCGAGTGCTAGAATTAAAGGTGTGAGCACCACGGCTGCCTTCATTCTCCATTTTCATAGCCCTGAAAGTTAGTGTGTGCCTTGGGTTTAATTCTCAATATCCTCTGCCCTCCTCCCTTCTGCTCTCCATTCTCTGTGTAACCTTATCTGCTCCTACCTCCTGGAGCCAGAGCCTCTCTGGAGCCCAGAATGAGCAGTCTTTCTTCCTTTTGGGCTTGTTTGTGCAAGTGCTTGGGTGTTTGTGTGTGTGGGGGGGCGGTGCGCTCGCCCTAGATGTGTGTAAATGCATGTAGAGGCCAGAGGGCAACCTTAAGACATTGACCTCAGGAGCTGCTTAGCTTGTTTTTTTGTTGCAGGGCTGTTTTGTCAAGCTATCTGAGAGATTTGGAAGGGATCCATTGTCTCTGAGTCTCCAGCTCTGGTATTGCCAGCATGTGGCTATCATTCCAGGCTTTTTTTTTTTTTTTTTTTTGTAGGTGCTGGGGATCAAACACAGATCCTCATGCTTCCTTCCCTTGACACTCAATGTATTCATACTTAAGGGTAAGAGTAGCATTGAAATATCACCTAGTGGGTTTAGTACAGCATCTTGCACATAATAGAAATATTAATCACAGCTAACTGACTTACTTCTTTCAGGGAGCAGTATTTACACTTGGCCTAAGGACAAAGTTACCCTTCCCTTCCAGTGATGTGTCAAAGCCGGGAAGATAGTGTGCTCAAGTCTGATCAGTTCAGAACTGAAAATGGGAATGTGTGTCGACATGGGACAGGGAAAGGCTTTCCCAGGATGGCTGGAGTTTGCTGATTGCTGGCCTTCTTTCAGCATGTGACTGAGTTTTCTGTTTTGACCTGTGGAGGTGTTAGAGTCCAGGAAAACCATAACTGTGGGTACGAGGAAAGCTGTGGCTATGAGAGGATGGGAGATAAAGACTAAGAAGACACTGCAAAGTGGCCCTATCACTTCAAAAGATAAACATAAAACTAAACAAACTGACAGACTAACCTAGAAAACAAAAACAGAAATATAAAACTCAGTTGAAGCCAGACAGTGGTGGTGCATGCCTTTAATCTCAGCACTTTGGAGGCAGAGGCAGATGGATCTCTGTGAATTTGAGGTCAGCCTGGTTTACAAATTGAGTTTCAGGACAGCTAGGGGTACACATAGAGAAATCTTGTCTCAAAAAACAAAAAAGCAAGCACACAAAAACCCCTAGGCTGGATGTGGTAGCCTGCTCATGGTAATACTAGCACTTGGAAGTGGATGTAGGAGATGCAGAATACAGAGTCATCCTTTGCTACATACTGAGTTTGAAGCCAGCCTGGGCTACACAAGACTATCCAAAACAGTTTTAAAAGATGAGCCAGACAGTGGTGGCAGCACATGCCTTTAATCCCAGCACTCGGGAGGCAGAGACAGGCGGATCTCTGTAAGTTCGAGGCCAGCCTGGTCTACAAGAGCTAGTTCCAGGACAGCCTCCAAAACCACCCTGTCTCGAAAAACCAAAAAAAAAAAAAAAAAAAGTGTCTCTTTGTTTCTGTCACTGTGCGCGGGAGTGCAGGAGTGCTTCTGTGTGCTTGTCACAGTGCCTCTGTGTCTTTCTGTGTGCATGTGTGTACCTCTTTCTCTCTCCTGTGTGTGCCTGTGTATGTATGTCTCCATGTGTGCATGCATGTGTGTATGAGTATACTCCTTTAGGGAAGCCTACCAAAATATAAAATACGTAAGCTGTGCAGAAACCGCTATCTTCTATTTCACAGCTCTTTCTGTTCCTCCACTGACCTTCCAGATGCCTGAAAATTGTTCTGTTCATTCCTTATCAGCAGGGAGCTGGTGGCCCTCCCCAGTCAGTCACGTTACAGGTATGTGTATTGTTACAGTGGACACTTGGGCTGGGACTCCTTCAAGCTCAAAAGTAGAAGACACTACTGAAATTTCAGGCTTTGAGACAAGCGAATGGTTGCAGAAGACATCTTGCCGGGATAGATCTTGCCACACTGGGTGGCGGCTGTATACATCCATCAGTAGTTCTGCGCCACAGAACTTCCCATGTGTTTCAGACATTTTCACGTAACCCATAACAAACATTAGACTGCAAAACACTCAGAATAAAGAGCAAACACATATAAGGAGAACGTAGTTTTTATGGAGTGTGCAATCTTTTTTTTTTTTTTTGAAAAAAATTCTGAATGCATTTTCAGTATCAAGCCTTGCCGAGAGGCATGCTCTTCAAGCTGGAAGAGAAGCATCCGGAAATGTGAGTTTGTCATGGAAACGCTGACAGGGCATCATCTGTGGGGCTGCTCACAGGTGCAGCCTGGAATGGCGCAGTCTCTCAGGGCTTATTTCCATTCCAGCCTGCTGAGTCCTCTTTCTTGTCGCCAGCCCCTGGTAGAGTCTGAGGCTTTTGGGGGAGCTGGGTAGGTCTTAGCGGGAAGGTGAGGGTTTTCAGATTCCTGGGACCGGAAATAATTTTAGTGTCAGTTTCACATCCGGGCTTCTGGAGAGGGTAGAGGGAAGAACCATGTAGAGGAAAGCATTACCCAAATCGCTTTTCATGTCTTCATCATTTTCATGCCTTCGTTCCTGTAGTCTGTAGCCCATTGAGGGGCCTGGAATTCTCTGTGTGTTACAGAAGAGCAAACAGGCTGACGATACTGGACGAGGAATCTGGACCATGTTCTTGGGTGGATTGGGCAGCCTACTAGTATAGGATTCTGGAGCTTCCCCTGCACCAGTCTCTGGCTGATAGCAAAGGCACGGGGCCTTTCCCTTAGCTAGCAGGGAGAAGGCTGGAGAGGCTGCCGGTGACTGCCTCTTGGTCCTGGCAAGACATGGGTGACTGAGCTATCACCGGCTTTGCTTTGTGTCCTTGAAGATGTTCTTTGTTCTTCCAAGTTGAGCCCCGGGAGTCCTAGCAAGAGACAGAGACAGGTACCAGGAATATTATGAAGTCAATGGGCTGGGCCTGAGTGGCATTGAGGGGGTTGGGTGAAGGAAAAGGTTGACCCTAGAAAGCTTCCAGCTGGTAAGAAAGGGAGCTCCCTCTCGCTCCCAGTCTAAACTGGTAGAGGAGTCCGAGGATGAGGAAAGAAAGACTCAGTCCACACATTGCCAAAGACAGTCTAAATGAAAAAACAAAAACGAAAACCAACCAAACGACATTTTCCTACTTAGACCACAAAACCTTGACCCACCATCTCGTTCCTTGGACTGCAGCAAGAGCCGAGGTGAAAGCAAGATCACTTTACAGCCTTTGCTTCAGAATCAGCAGCTCTTCCTAACCCGCCCCTGCCCTAGCACTCCCTGATTGGGGGTGTTGGGGGGGGTGTTCTTGTGTCCTCGCCTGGTTCCAGTGGCCCTGCTACAGGGCTGTTCCTATCCGACCCAGGGCTGATCTCCGGTCCTCTCCGTTTTCTGTAACACCTTACTTTTCTTTTTTTTATTAATCAATTTTTAATTAAAATTTTCATTTTATATACCAATCTTAGTTCCCCTCCCTCCCCTTCTCCTGCCTCCCCCTTCCTACCCACTATCCATTCCTCAGAAGAGGTAAGGCATTCCTTTCGAGTCAACAAAGCCTGGCATACCAAACTGAGGCAGGATCAAGCCCCTCCCCCTGTCAGATCCCACCTTTCTTGTCCCACCCGGAGTCTTCGGAGCTTGGGAGACATTCCAGAGTGCTCTGGTTCAACAAGAATTTGTTGCTCAGTGCGATCCGAGCCGACTTCTCTCCCTTCCCCTCAGAGGTGTTGGTAGTAACAGCAGCAACGAGCTGCCAAGTTGGCAGGAGAACAGAGCGGCTGTGCACTGCGGATTGAGGGGGGCGGGGAGCAGCAAACCCGCAGAGGGCTGGGCCAGGATGACAGTCTGTTTATCCTGAAATTAAAAGGTCCCTCCAGGCTGAGCGGCCTGCATCCTACCTGGGCCTGGGGGTGGGGCGGGGATGCTGTGGTTTGAAGGTTGAGGCCCCTAGGGAAGCCTGGGGCTGATGATGCTGGTGTAGCACCTAGGAGGCTCCCAGTCTGGCTGTTGCTATAGTGGGTGGGAGGGACCTGCTGGGCTGGGCCCAGAGGGCAAGCCAGGTAGGCCTCCGTGGCAGGGTAGAGATGACTTTTGTTCCAGTTCTGGAGTAGGGGCTGTGGTTTGCAAGCTAGAATGGCTATAGGACACAAGGAGAGCAATCTGTTGTGAATCTACTTCCTCCTAAAGATAGGGACCACTAGGGACACTTGGGAGGGCACACATGCTCTGTCAATCAAACAGACCTGGGGTCTCAGGAGAGTTCTTCAGCTTCCTGCAGCCTCCACAATTAAGGCTATCTACTTCAGAGCTTAGCGTGAGGATTCAATAGAATCAAAACAGCCAAAGCTTACTATGAGGCAAGGCACTAAGAGCCCTACATACAGATGCCAATGCTCTGAGCTTCAGACTCCACCAAACAGGGGTGCTGCTGCTAGTGTTGCCCTTTTTTGTTGTTTTGTTTTGTTTGTTTGCTTGAGACAGGGTTTCTCTGTAGCATTGGAACCTGACCTGGAACTTGCTCTGCAGACCAGGCTGGCCCTGAACTCACAGAGATCCGCCTGCCTAGGCCTCCCAAGTGCTAGTATTAAAGATGTACGCCACCAACACCCGGCCGCATTCCCATTTTATTAATGAAGCAACTGAGACCCAGGGTCCTTAAGTAACTTATTCAAGATCACAGAACTAGTGAGTAGCAAAGTGAAAGACTCGGACCCAGTCATGTGTTGTGTAGGCTGATGTTCCCAGCCTCTGTCCATGCTGACTTCACAGATAACCTCGCTTTGGGCACGGAACATGGTGCTAGCTACCACCATGACACAACTGAACAGTTCCTAACAGGACTCAGGGATTCTGTGGGACCCTACACCCCACCCCATCTTTGGTCTCCACTCCATGTTTGTCTTAGAAGGTAGAGGAATTCTCCCTCCAGCTAGCTGCTGGCCTTGCTCGATGTTCCATTCCTCTGTTCCCCTCCTCCTTGAAGTAGAGCAGAATTCTCAGCTTCCTTTAGTTACCCTCAGCCTGCAAAGAAAACATAGTCTGCTGTGTCTGCTGCCAATTCCTCTCTGGTGACAGCCACAACCCATGTGTTGGGCGCCAGCCCTAGCCCGTGTTGTGGGTAGAACCAGGAGCCTGGAGCTGGACCTCCGGGCCCTACTGGAGAGAATGGGCTGGGCACTAAGTGTGGGCCTCTGTGCTAGAGTAGCCTGGAACTTTTGGCTGTAAGAGCTAAGACCAAATGTTGCTGTGTCACTCGGTGTGTGTGTGTGTGTGTGTGTGTGTGTGTGTGTGTGTGTGTGTGTGTGTTGCTGAGAATCTAACTTAAAACTTGTGGCATACTGGGGAGGTGCCCTCCTACCAAGCTCCATTTCCACCCCTAGTTGTCTTCTTTGAGACTCTTGAATTCACTGCATAATCCTATTTGGCTTCTGATTCCTGGTCATCCTGCACCCACCTCCCGAGTGCTGGGATTGCAGGCATGGACCACTAGGTCCAGGTGTTATAGATTGTTTACTACTGGGCATGGTTTGCACACCTGTACTTTTGGCATTTAAGAGGCTGAGGCTGGGAGAATCAGGAATTCAAGGCTAGCCTGGGCTACAATAGAGCAGGTATCAAGGCAGCTTTGTAAGCTAGTGATCAGCTTTCCATGTCTGCTAAACTGCGCTACTGGCAGTGTTTGCCTCTTGCAAAGGACCAGATAGATAATTCTATGCCACTTCTTGGGGTACTAAAGTTAATTTCTGCAAGGTCAAGCCAGAGTCAGATGCCTGGTTCTCAGCTGCCTCTGACAATCAAACCTGCATCCTCAGTGCTGGGGCAAGGAGCACAGTGCAGATGCCTCAAAACAGCACGGTTGTTCACATGAGTACTGAGGAGGGCTGATGGGGACTACAGAGGCATCACCCTGATTGCCTCCTTCAGATAAGAGGTCAGAGGACAAGCCAGGTGGTGGCGGCACACACCTTTACTCCCATTACTTGTGAGGCAAAGGTAGGTGGATCTCTGAGTTCCAGGCCATCTGGTCTACAGACTGAGTTCTAGGACAGCCGAGGTTACCCAGAGAAATTCTGTCTCGAACAAACAAACAAAAAATAACAAACTAGCAAACAAATGACCAATGACTTAGGATATTGTACTGGAGTGGTCCAAGTGAGTAAAATCCTGCCATGGTAACACACAGGGAAACATCATTCCATCACATACACAGATCAGAGAGCCAGTGAGAGCATCTCCTAGTCAGAAACTTCACTAGAACAGAATAACTGAGGACAAAGAGGGGCTGGCATAACCCTACAACGCCTTTCTATATGCTAAGTATCCCAGCAACATTGAAAAACCTCTAGTTCTGGGGCAACTCTCCCTGTGACCAGAGGGTGGAGGGGAAACTGAGGCATCAAAGCAGAGGAGAGCTCCAAGGAGTTTCAAGGCACACCCAGAAGGTCATTGTTTGTTTCCACACAGGAATGGCTACCATTTGTGTCTGGGGTGTTTCTTGGAGGTTTGCCCTTGCTGTAGTACTCAGGGCTCTCTTCTGCCTTACCTGGCTGTTGAAAGGAAAAAAAAAAAAAAAGCAGTTAGGGTCAACACAACTCAGAGGCCGGTGTTGGTCCAAACTTCAGGAGTCTGACCCCAAGTGGTTTATTTTAGGCATACTTAAGCACAAGCACAATTTGATGAGAACTATTCTGGTGATAATTAACTCAATCCCTCTGCACAACAAAGCATCCATGCATCTCCTTGAGGAACAAAGTAAGCTAACACACATCAGACGTGTCTCCATGGAAACTCTATGTAAAGTGCGTAAAGATGGGTTCTGTAGGTTGCCTGAGATAAACAAGCTTATGATAGGGTCTGGGGGAGGATCTGGTGCTGGAAAAATCTCTGGCCACACAGGGAGAGCAAAGGTCACCAGGCTAGAGAACACATCTGCTGCAGCTTCTGGGCAGATAACAGGTATTGCATTCCTCCCCTTGAAGGAACAACCCCCTGTGCTAACATTCCAGATTCCCCTAGTGCTTATCTGTGATCTCAAAGACCTCCGTGCCTCCTGTGGTAGGTAGTAGGAGGTCATGGGCAAAAAGAAATGCCTTCCAGTAGGCTCACTGGCTCACACAGGGCTGTTGTGTGAAGCAAATTGCTGGTGTCTTATGCTCAGAAATGAATTTGTCTCCTTCAGAACTTCTCATTTATAACCTACATGAAGGCTGCTGACGTGGTTATAATGGGGGACAGAGGAGTGGGGGGTCAGTTGCCTTCCTCTTGCTGCTGATTCTGTGTGGTCCAAGCCATTGTCCAAGAAAGGGCATGAAGTCCAGGGAGGTGAGAAGCAGAGGGACCAGAGATGAACAAAGAGGGCAGAGCACACCAGGAGAGAGAGGATGAAGGAGGGCATGATGAAGGGTGGGGGCAGCCTGCCCGTGGGAGACTGGTAGGGGAGCGCACCCTCACCTGGGTGAGGTGGTAGGAGACAGCGCATTTCCCAGCTCTTGACCTCTTGGATGAGGCATATAGGGGCCAGCACAGAGGCAGGGGCATGCCTGAGATGACTCTTAAGAATTCTCTCCCTTCGGAAACTTCTGAAGAAAGGATGAACAGCAAAAGTGGGTCGAGGTTCCATTTTCCTGAGGAAGCTCTGGGCTGGAAACAAGATGTTTTATGTTGCCTCTTCACTTATTCACGAGGCTATCGATTATAATGCAGCTTTTCCACGGGCTCCTGGGGTAGCATGAGTTGGGAGAAGGAAAACTAACTTCCTTTGCTCTGGAGATGTTAGGAGCTTGGGCAGGCCATCTGCCTTACCTGCCTCCATGCCCTTTTCTCCACACTCCTTTCCCACGCCTTCTGAAGCACTCATGTGGCCTGAGGGTTGAGAGCCATGAATAGGCC